TGAATGTAAAGATTTAGGGGATTATTTATGGGGGGAGGGTATGGACACATACACAACACCCTAAAAACCTGAGTCTGAAATTAAGTCCTCCACATCTGGAATGCTTCTTCCAGGAGAAGGTCGAAGGCTGAATAAGCCGGCAGTGTTAAGCTTTTTACTACCCTCAGATGTGAAAACAGGATGGAGGGAGGTTGATTTCATCACATAAAGCTGCTGTTGCTCACTGGCTTTTTGTCTGTGGGTTTTTCTATGCACTGTTATCAGTCTGGAAGAGTGAGCAAACATTATTATTTGGTTTTATTTTTCAGTAGAGGAAGATGAGGAGGAAAAATGTGACTAGACCAGTAACTCTTTAGAATATACATCAAATTATCAGTTAAGATGCCAGCTTTTTCCAGCAATTTTTGCCAAAGTGCTTGCTTGTTAGGTGTGTCACACAAACAAGCTGTGGGCTCTGATTAAGCTGATGTTCATACCTGAGCACCAGGTTTAGAATCCCCCATGTAATTTTACAAAGTCAGTTTATTTTGTGTGGGCGCAGGGATGGAGGTGGAGTCAGGGTTTTGGTTTGGTGGTTTTTTTGAGGAGGTAGTGGGGAAACTACTTAGAAGTGAAAAGCTTTTGTGTAAGATCTCTGTAGAATGGTAAGTCTGAACTGTGTTGTCTCTGTTCTAGACTGTCGGTGTCTTAAAGGCAAAAGACTGGCTTGTCTGAACTCTGAGCATAATAATAATTTAAAACTTCAGTGAATGTGCTACTGTATTAAATCAGTGGAAATGCTGAAGTAGACTCAGTGCTGGCAGCAGGTTTCATTATGGAATAACTACGTCAAGCTTGTTCCTAGCCTGCTCAGGGAAACAACTTAGGGTGTTGTCCATCATGATTCGTACAGACGTGATGTAGCTGGCTAGGTCTTTCCTCCCATAACCTCTGTAAAGCCTCCGAGGGGTACCTGTTCTGTCCTCCTAGTAACACACCTATATTGATCTAATTTAAAGAAAGACTTCCTTACAGTACAAAAATAATCTAGAACAAGGTGTAAAATGGAAAGTTTGGCAGTGCAAATTACCTTAATCTAAAATAGGAAGCTACCACTGGGAAAGGTGTGTATCTTTATAGCGTAATTATTTGAATCTATCGAATCACTTCAGTAAATTGTATTTTCCCTTTCCATTAAAGGTTGCTAAGCTAACCCATGCAATTTCGATCTTCACCGAAGGCATCCTCATGATGAAAACTACTTTAGTTGGTATCATCAAGGTAACGTTTGATTATTCCAGTAGGAAAAAGTAATTTGGTGGCAATTAGCATTTCAGCACAGATATTTCAGCACATTAAGCAAGACCTTGAGGAAAGATAAAAAGACAAGAAAAAATAAGTTGGCATACAAATTTTCAAACAGTGATGCCTAACTTGGCATCCAGATAAGAACCGTATTAAGGTTGTTAAGAACCCAAAGCTCTCATTGCATATAGATTCATCAGCCTTAATTGACCCCTTTTTTTTTTTATTTCTACTGGAAAAGTGACCGCAGTCTTTTCTAAAGAGCCATTTTTTCTTTGGCAAAGACTGCTCTTCCTACATTAAGATACCTCTTTCAAGACTTCAGGAACAAGCATACTTAAAGAAAAATACAGCACTTAATGCATTCTGGCTTTTTATAATGGTACAACATTCTCAATGGATCATTAACAGAGGTTGAATATGGGGTGTGCGAACCTTTGCCATTCAACTTAAAGGAACCATTTGTATCGGGTGGAAGTATTTAAACATTTATTCTTTGGGCAAGCACTGCTGGGAAAGTGTATCTGGTGGCACTGCTTTCCGATTACATCCTAAGTACTTAATATCTTTTTTGGTACAAACAAAATCCTTTATATTTTTTTTTTGTACCTTTCTGACTTTAAGAAAAACTTGTTTCTTCTACTTAGGTGGACCCAAAACAGTTACTAGAGGATGGAATAAGGAAGGAGCTGGTAAAACGGGTAGCTCTAGCGCTTCACAGGGGACTCATCTTTAATCCTAGATCCAAGGTGTGTAACAGCTTGATTTTATTTTATTTTTTATGTATCTTGGAATTGTTGGGACCTCTTTTAGTATACTACCTTTTAGAAAATAATTTGTAATCTTCTGTACAAATTTCCTTTTGTAAAAAAAAAAATACACTTTTTGAACCTCCGAAAAGTGATTTGGAATGCCTTACTTGGTGTTAAAATGAGTTTGTAAACTGCTAAGAGTACATAGAATTCAAAACCATGTTTTTATTCTATTGCCAAGTGTCCCATCAGTTCTGAGTTCACAGGTCTGTCTGTGACGACTGATGACGATGCATGATAGGTATAAGCCAGGTAAACAGCATGGCAGTGATAGAGTGGGGAGTGTGACTCCTTGTTTTGATCCTCTCCAGATTCTTGAGTGTCTCTCCTAGATCAATCAATAGTACCACTGAAACCTAAAGTAAGCATAAAAAGCAGGAGGAAAAAATATTTAGGACAGAGAGTTATTTCAGATATCAAACAACCTGCGATAAGCTTCTCAGTGCTTTTTGGTTTTGGCTGCAGCAGAGTGAAAATCCTCTAGAGGTTGTTGTGTAAAAGCACTTAGAAGCCAACCTTTTACATTTTCTTTGTATTCTGCATGTTCACAGTTTTGGTTTTGGGTGTTTTTTTTATCTGTAGCCGAGTGAACTGATGCCCAAACTGAAAGAAATGGCAGCTACAATGGATGGGTTCCATCGATCATTTGAATATATCCAGGATTACGTCAACATATATGGTTTAAAAATTTGGCAAGAGGAAGTGTCTCGCATTATTAACTACAACGTGGAACAGGAGTGCAATAACTTCCTAAGAACAAAGGTGCTGGTCAAAACCAAGAACAAGTAGAAAGCTGATAAATGTGTTTGGATGTTAAAGCTTGTGACTGATGGCACATGTGTACCCCATTGGGTGCCATCCATACTGCTGTGACTTAACGAGATGTCCTAACTGCTGTGTAAAACATCTGCCCCCAGCTTTTTCTGCGTCCCCACTGCATTAGTTGTACGTAAGAAGGGCAAAGTTTCCCAAACAGAGTATTTTACTATCTCTTGCTAGTGAACGATGTCCTTCCTCTTTCTCAAACAGAAATGAATGGCAGTAGTCCCCTCTGTATTTATTGTTAGCCATCACAGTCCAGGCTGGGTAACTGCAGTAGTTACCAGCTCTTTCTGTGATATTTCCAGGTGGTGGAGTGAACAGATCTTCAATTTAGCTAACAAAACGGTGGCTAGTCTTGCTGCAGAGCAGACCAGACAGAGTTCCCACCAGGAATGGTGGTTGTCCTCTCAACCTCCACACTTCGATTCTGCTTGTTCTTTGTTATGAGCCTCGTTCTTCTCTTTATTTTGTTTTTATGGTGTTCTGCTGTGTGTAATTTCCAACATGGTTTTACAGTGCACTACTTAGGAATTCTATCCCTTTTGTTTAATTTAAAAGCAAATTAAATATCTGTAATGGTAACACTGCAAATTACTCTAGAACTTATTTTTCAGATTCAAGACTGGCAAAGCATATATCAGTCTACTCACATTCCTATACCAAAATTCACCCCTGTGGATGAATCCGTGACATTTATTGGTCGGCTTTGTAGAGAAATCCTGAGGATCACAGACCCAAAGTAAGTACCGTTTGTCACAAGCTGTATTGTAGCGCCGTGAGTTGAATTGCTCCAGTTCTACCATATACAAACAAAATACGCAACAAATAGTTTTTCCTTAGCTTAATCTAAAAACAGATTTACCCAATCCATCCTGGGCATTTTAAATCTTAGTCTAGAAAAGTTGTGATTTTAGTCTAAGAAGGAAAAGAGTGTGTTACACAGACGGAGGAGAGAGGAACCAGGGAAGGGAGACAAAACCACTGTGGAGAGAGGAGCAGCTAAACATCACCTGAGATGCTTAGAGAGTCTTTCTGATCTCTGCTTGACTAAGATAACTCATTACTCAGAATATGACAGGAACTGTCTGCAGCTTATCTGAAGTATTTGTTTAATTTTTCCTCAGAATCACATGTTACATTGACCAGATGAACACCTGGTATGATATCAAAACTCATCAGGAAGTAACCAGTAGTCGTCTCTTCACAGAGATCCAAGATACTTTAGGAACCTTTGGTCTCAATGGTTTAGACAGGCTGCTGTGTTTCATGATTGTAAAGGAATTGCAGGTAATTTTTAAACTTTGGCTTCTCCAGGTCACGATGTGTTTGTTCTTTAATAACTTCTGGTGAAATAAAGAATCTGTTATTTTTTTTCTGGAAATCAAAAGCACTTGCAAAATGTGTGTTTGAACCCAAAGGTAAGGATTTCAGTTACAGATCAAGTAGTGAAAGCTGGCACTCTTGAGTATTGGTGCTGTGGAACACCGGGGTATGCGTTACATCCAACAATGGAGTGCAGGGAGCGGCTTTGAAGGTGTACGCTTTGTGTATACTTACAAGTTGATCTCGGGTCAACTTCCGTTTTTCTGTCTAGATACCAACAAAGAATCAGATTGTTGGGGTCCACCATGGTACAAATAAGGTGTCAGCTCTATGTCATGACTTTTTCCTAATGCCTCTGTGTAAAACCAAGGGGTTTTTGTCTTCTGGGAAGAATCCAGTCCTAGCCTGGTTAAAGTTTTTAAGGAAAATAAGTATTGATGGAGACAGCTCTTTCTCAAAAACTGCATTAATGTCTACAGTGGGTGTTATGTATTGATGAGGGGGATCTGCTAATTGTCCTAACACTGATTAGCGTAATGCAGAAAAGCACAAAGTCTAGCTGCACAATTCGTCAGCTCTTCATGTGGGGAAATATGCTTTCCCTGCTGTTAAAAAATGTGGCTCTTTTACCACCAAGATTAAGTATAGAGTACGTGTGTGAGGATTTTACTTCCTTCTTTTTCTTTTCTTTAGAATTTCCTCAGTATGTTTCAGAAAAATATATTGCGTGACAGGACAGTACAGGACACCTTAAAAGCGCTTATGAACGCTGTCAGTCCTCTCAAAGGAATTACAGGTAAGTGCTTACTGGTTAGGACGGGAGAAAGCTGCTGTCTCTGCACACTTGCACTTATTTCTCTTCTTGTTCTTTTTTTAATTCCTCACCCTTCTTTTTTTCTCAGCAAATTCAAACAAGGTTTATTCTGCAGCAATTGCAAAAACTCAGAAGATATGGACAGCATATTTAGACTCCATAATGAAGGTAGGAGTATGTGACTTGGCGATACGCAGAACTCACCCTAGTATGTAAAGTATGTAACCTTGGTTACATACTTTAATCTGCTTATTTTCCTATGCTGTGTTGTGTTGAGCTGGAATTCGGTAACATCACAAGTGAAGCAGGCCTGAATTGGAGAGGGCTCCTCAGCTGCGTTGATAAGGACAGCTCGCGCTCCATGAAGGGCTGAGCAATGTGAGATTGATGTGTAACAGTTTGCCAGAAATGGAGTCTGGTGCTACAGAACTGAGCTGGGAAGACCGAGTTAGGGCTCGGTGTCAAGTAACTGGGCGTTTGTACCCGTTACCTTTCTAGCGCTTTTTTCACACTGCCTGTATTTGCTGCCACAAACTGCGTGTGACTCCTGAGCTCTGGGACTGCCCCTCTCCTCTGACTGCACAGTTGGGGCCCATCAGTTCTGACTGTGGGCAGCCTGAGTCAGGGCTCTGGGACCGAAACAAGGTGTATGTCCTGCTTTGGGCAGCCCTGCAAAGGCTGCTAGGCGTAATGAAGACTTTGTGCAACCTGTTTAACTGCAAGCTATTGCTCATTAAGTTTTTCCGTGGTTTGATTTTATTCTTCCTTCACTGTGTTCAGTCTAACACTCCACCGTTTTTTGTTTTATTTCAACAGGTTGGTCAGATGCAGATTTTAAGACGACAGATTACCAATGAGTTAAACTATTCCTGCAGGTTTGACTCCAAGCATTTGGCTGCTGCTTTGGAAAATCTCAATAGGTAAGTGTGCTGGGTTCAGTCAGGA